CGGGTCAAGGATTCTCTCTTGCACGTAGTTGAACCCAGAAAGATACAGCCTAGGGGACAGCTGCAAATTATCTTGAGACCAGAAGGGGAAAGCCAGTCTAAGAAAGGGGTCAACATAGAGAAAGCAGAACCAAGAGATAGGAAGAAAGAAAAATGGGATCTAGAAGGCCTAATCTGAGTACCTGTGCCCAGTCCAGCTATGTCTGGAATCTCAGCTCTGGATTGTTTACACAGAGTGACATTTCTCCTTTCATTTTTTTGCTTAACCCAATTTGAGCCTGGTATTTCCCCCTTCAACAGAAGAGTTCAAATCGATTCACTCTGGTTTTTGATGCCAGACTTGCAAGACTCTAGATTTATTACAGTAAAAATTGAGATGGTCTCAACAATGCCCAGACTGAAAAACACAGAATTCTGTGCATAAAATCTAGAAAACAAGAAATGGGTGGGGCCAGAGGGTGTTGCAGCAGTAAAATGAGATGCTCTGATGGTAATCCCCACATGAGAAGGTTCCCAGTTCAAGTCTAGAGGCCTCCCTAAGTACCAGCCACGTGTGTACCCATGATCATGGCTAGCTGAAGCTAGGGGTGGATCAAGACCTCATTGAAGGGGTCAGAAGGTGGCGTGGTATTTGGGGCCAACCATGGTTCAGGTCCTGGACCTGGCAGCTTGCTTTCTCATTTTCCCTCTCTCTCTGATGACTATAGCAAGTTTAATAATTAATAAATAAATAAAATAAATCTTTTAAAAATAATTATTAAATTAAATTAATTAATTGATTGATTTTAACTTTGACTCGAGAAAGACAAAGTGAGGTAGAGAGAGAGAAAGTGAAAAAGTAAGCCACCAGGTCCAGGACTTGAACTGTGGTCAGCCACATGGGAGTGCCAGCCATTCCTTTCTCCTGTCCGAGTACCTGTTGTCCATGCAGCTAAATGCACTGCATTTTCACTTTGGTTTTCAAGCCCTGCAAATGTACAAGATTCTTTAGGAGAGCTCCACACTCCTTGCAAACGCAATACGTACTCACCTGCATGTTATACAGGGGCTGCGTCGGTGCGTTAACTTCTCTCAGCAGACGACGAGATAAGTCCCTTAGCTCTAAAAGTCTGCAGACAAGCTGAGGCTGCAGGAGTTTGGCCACGGACTTGGAGGACCTGGATATGCTGTTTAATCCTTGAAGTAACGTTCCCCGATTCACCTTGGCTAAAGCGATAGCCATTCGAATTCTGGATGTTTTCTGTGTGGTTTCTCTTTTCTGAAAAACAAGCCTTGGAAAAGTGACTGATGTGTGATTGTTCAATGCATTATTAAAGTCTATCTCTGACAGAGACCAAGTGCCATAGAACCACACTGCACCCAGTACTGTGTATAAACTCAGTGGCCAATAATTACACACCCGCATTCAGCTCAGAGATGTGTCCTCCATGCACTTAAATCTTTATACATATATGCTACTTTTTTCCTTAGAATGAATATCCAGATTATAGTAAACAGCCAAAATATAAAAATTTTTCGTTTTTCTCTCTGGATTAATATCTTTTTCTGATTTTTAAAAAGAGCTATTGTGGGGTTCAGCAGGTGACAAAGTAATTAAGGTACTGGCAGATTATACTAAGCAGCCAAAATATACAAATTTTTTCATTTTTCTCTCTGGATTAATATCTTTTTCTGATTTAAAAAAAGAAACTATTGTGGGGTCAGCAGGTGACAAAGTAATTAAGGTACTGGACTCCCACATGACCAATCATGGTTTGAGCCCCAGACACAGCGGCTTGAAAATCATGGTGGCCTGTGTGAATGTGTGCCCAAAATCGCGAGAGGAGAGTTGAGGAGAAGAGATTGCAGCGTGGTCATTCCCCCTGGGGAGTGGTTTCTCACTTTCCCTCTCTCTGGCGTCTGTCGAGCACATGTGCCCTATGGCAAAAATCAAAAACTAAATAAATTGGAACCAATAAATGGCATAATGGGTACATAGTTAGACTCCCACACAGTCAACCACAGCTAGATTCCCGGACCCGGCAGCTTAAAACTCATGCCAGGTACGTGTACATGCATGTCCAAAATCCCACGAGGAAAATGGGGATGGGATTGCAGCTCTCTGGCAAGGGCACATGCCCTATAGCAAAAATCTCTCTCTCTCAAAAAAAGAAAAAATATATATATATATATAAATAAAGCTCTTGCAAAAGTAAACAAGAATTCTTAAATATTATTCAACGTTTGGGTTATTCAAGTAGTAATGCTTACTCAAAACTACTACAAATATTTTCCCAGTTTTCTTTACATTTTAAATGATGAAATAGTGAATTGGAGAAACTACTTACAATGTGGTTAGACTATATTCTAAGCAACGGACAAGCATTTCCATTATTCATTTAAGTCATTTAATGGGCCGTTCTGGCTTCTTAGTATGTAACTCAGAAAAAAAGCATTGGTTAATAACAAATAAGTAACTTTGAATATCTAAATACTTACTGTATCTAAATATAGAAATGTAAAGTATCTTTTGTTTTGTTTTTAGTTTTTGTTGCAGGTCGTGCACTCACCAGAGACAGGGAGAGGGAAAATGAGAAATTGCCCCCTGGGGCGATGGCTGCACCTTAATCTCCTCTAGTCTATTCTGGGATTTGGGGGACACACATGTGCCTGTTGTGATTTTTAAGCCACCGAGTCTGGGGCTCAAACTGCAGTCAGCTATGTGGGAGTCCAGTGCCTTAATCATCTTGCCACCCTGCAAAATATATTTTAGGCGGATTTTTTTTTTTTTTTTTGCCTACAATGAACATATATTTATCTAAGAGCTAACATCTGTATATTTACTTACAGTGTCTCAATTTTACCCTGAAATAACTTTATTATGCTATTCCTCTTACTGTTCAGCATTTGCCATTGATGATAACCAAAAGCTATTCTAGCCTGTCGATAAGGACGTATGTCTGTCGCGTGTGGTGCCCTGCTGTGGTCTGACCGGTTAATGTTACTGAAGAAGCCTATTAGCCCATGGGTGAGCTCACCGCTCCTGCTCAATACTAACAGAGAACGCGATTTATAATACACGGTGGCCTGCTACAGCTGCTTCACTGCTGAGCCACCCCGGACAGGAGCAGTCCTAAAAGCAGTGACATGGCAGGTAGAGAAGCGAACAGCATGAGGTGATACTATTACCCCCCCGGCTGCGAGCACCTCAGCGGCCAGGGCTCCTGCACATATGGGTGGTTTCTCCTGTGACTCCATGCTTTCCTGCACCGGCCTCCCAGCGCCTCCTCAGTGGAGCCGCTGGAGTAAGTTTGGTCTTACTGCTCACTTCAGCTCCATTGTGCTTCGTGTGAGTAGAATGCATTATCATGAGGAGAGGGCTGAATTTCCAGGGCAGACGGGAGTGGGCACGCGCAGTTCCACCTTCAATGAAACTGTCACTTGTTCAAACATTCAGAGTCACATGTCAGCATGGCGCAGTTTCCTCATCTTCTTTTTGTAAGTTTCTTTCAAAAATCCTGACGCTCTGTACATGTCGACCTGGAGTCCCTGACTCTACACATCAATTGTGTTAACGGACCTCGAGTGATTCCCAGAACGTCACACTGTAAGGTTCCATTCAACCTTCCCCTTCTTTTTTTGTTTTAATTTTTGCTATCAGGCATGTGCACTCTCCAGAGAGACAGTGAGACAGAGAGGGAAAGTGAGAAATCACTCCCCACACCCAGGGGTGGCTTCACTACAATCCCTTCTCCTCCACTTTCCTCGCAGGACTTCCGGGCCTGCAGGCTCATGCACCCAGCATGTTCTTTAATCTGCCGGCCCAGGACTCCAGCCGCAGAGTTAGCCATGTGGGACCCAGCTGCCTTAACCGCCATGCCATTGGCTTACGCAAGCCTTCTGCTTGTTTAACACGGTCTTTCTGAAATTTCATCTCCGTATAAAAATAAGCCTATTCGTAATTGATAATTTATTAATCAAAAGTAGGGTTCGCATAATTTGGGTTGACCAAAATATGTATACAATTTATTATAAACAACATTTCAAAGCTAATTATTTAATTTAACTCTATTTATTACTATTACTTTTTAATTTGACCAGAGAGAAAGAGAGAAAATGAGAAAGCAAGTCACCAGGTCCAGGATTTGAACCACAGTTGGCCATGTGGGAGTCCAGGGCCTCAACCACCACACCACCTGCTGGCCCCTATAAACAACATTTTTAAAAATTTTAGTGCATTATGATAATATTTTAGCATTCTCTGTATTATCTTCCCTATCTTTGGCGTCGTCGTGAATTTCTGGCTTTTCCTGTGGACTCCTGTCTCTAATGAATATGGTCTTTGTTTCCCTTTAACAAGCAGTTGTTACAGTTAGCTGTGCTTTCCTTCATAGTTTAAAAATTGTTCTTTTTTGATATTTTCCTAGATACATTTGAAAGAATTGCTACTGTGACAACAAAATGTTTCTGATCATCTTTATTTTCCCTGCCACAAAATACCCAATGGACTCTTTCCAGAGAAGACCTCCTGGTTGCTTTTAAGAGGAGTACTGTAATATGGCGAGTGAGTGCGTGCCATGCTCAATGGTTCTGTGTTGCTCTAGGGATATAAAAGTGACAACGGAGAAGAAGCTATTTACATTCCTGTAGATCCAGAATGAGGCTTGGTCACAAATTTATGGTGGTGATTGCAATTCACTCTTATTCTCAGTGAGTTACTTTTTTAACTAGGTAACTAGCTCTAGCAAGAATATTTTTATTGTATTTAAGGTTCTCACCATTGGGCGCATACACTTGCAGAGAGAGACAGAGAGAGGGAGAGTGAGAAATCACACCCCAAAGGGGATGGCCATGCTACAATCTCTTTTCCTCCATTCTCCTCCTGGGATTTTTGGGCACACACATGTGTAAGACTGTTTTTAAATAAAAGCTCTTTAAAATTTTTTAAAGATACTAGCTTTTCTCTTTTGTTTATAACCTATGCTATGTATGAAGAACTTCAAAACATTCACATAAAATGGAATTGAAACTGTGATTTTATTTCAGTGCAAAAACATACAATTTTTTCAGAATACAAATTTTCCACAAACTTTTTGAAGGTCCTGTGTATTTTCTTACCAAGCTATGTGTGTAAATTAAAATGTTGACCCCAAATCAGTAAGTTTACATTTCTCTCCCCCAATGCACACGTCTTTTTTCCCTCTTTATCTAGTATCCCAGAATTGGAGTTGGTTGTGGTGTACAAGTTCAAATGGTTTTGTTTGCCATCACCGTTGTTTGGGCACATCGCCAGTGGCCAGAGCAGAAATTTCAACCCCCTACAACCATCACACCTCACAGGCACACAATGGTACTTAACAGTCATTTATCAAAGGAAACAGCATCAGGCGATTCCAGAGGGCCAGCCAGGCGATGTGGTGGTTAGGGGAGATGGATTCTGCTGGAGCCATGGGACCAACTGCACGGTTCAAGTCCCAGAACTGGTGGCTTGAGAAACACTACAGGCATGTGTGCGTGCATGCCCAAAATACTGAGGAGAATGGAGGAGAAGGGACTGCATGGTTGTTTTCCCCCCTGGGGGGACACTTTCTCACTTTCTCTCTCCTTCTCTGTCTTTTTCTGGTGAACACATGCACCCTATAACAAACTAAAGAAAAACAATTGATTCTACAATCCTGCTTCATCTTATCCATCTGAGCTCCATTCTTTGAATGTATATCCTGATTTCTTTTTCTTTTTTTTAAAATAGAATCATGCCCATTTCTTTGTCCTAGGCAATTTTAATGGTGGATTTCCATTTCTATTGCTTCTGCTTTTTACTCTTAAAAATTCACACTGGAGGGGACCAGCAGTTAGCGTAATGGCTATGTCGCTAGACTCCCATGAAGTCGACCACAGTTCACATCCCGGACCCGGTGGCTTAAAACTCACGCCAGGCGCGTGTGCGTGCATACCCAAGATCCCGAGAGGAGAATGGAGGAGAAGGGATTGCAGTGTGGCCATCCCCCCTGGGGGGTGATTTCTCACTTTCTGTCTCTCTGTCTCTCTCTGTCTGTCTGGTGAGCGCATGTGCCCTATAGCAAAAACCTCTTTAAAAAAAAAAAATCACACTGGATGTATGTGTTTCTATGCCTGAAATCCCGAGAGGAGAATGGAACAGGGACTATGGCATGGCCAATCCCCTTGGGGGGGGAGGGTGATTTCTCACTTTCCCTCTCACTGTCTCTCTCTCTCTCTGGCTAGCACACACACACTATGGCAAAAGCCTAAAAATTTTTT